AACTGTCTCTCCTTCTGTTCAGTAGGCCTGATCTTGAGAAAACTTACCCACCCACCGGTCTGATCCTGAGAAAACCGATGTTCCACCCAGATGACTGCTACGTGTGCTTGCTATGGGAGTGTACCAACTCCCTATCACAGGGGACCTGTGTCACACAGGGATGAACCATGGGATCCGTATTTCCAAATATTACACACAGAGCCACCCATTCATGTGGAAGTTTAATCTTTTTAGCAACAGAGTTTTCTACATGGAGATAATGTATTCCCTTTTTAAACTATGAGGATGCATTCAAACCAGAAATCCTATATCTACAGTCAGAACACCAAACGATAACCACGTAGTGAGTCGTGCCACTAGTTCAGACCTGGGCAAAGTGCGGCCTGAGGGCCACATACGGCCCGTGAGCTGCTCCTGTATGGCCCGTGGACAGTTTTGAACATCAAAACTATTTATAGCTTTTTGTCTAAAGTTGATCAGTTGCTAATCTTTAACCTAGTGCAAAAAAACTCTTTAGTATTTGTGAAGATTAACAAGTTTAAAATAAAAGCGAGCATAACATCACTGTTTCATTTTATTTTTAAGTAAAGTTGGTTCAGCCCCCAAATACAGTTCAGATTTTTCATGTGCCCCCCCCTATAGAAATTAATTCCCCACTCCTGCACTAGTTCATGAAGCTCAGTAACATCTACACTGACTGATGACAAATCTAGACATACCTTTCAGCTGCAAAGGAGGTGCTGCAGAAGTGGTAAAATTCACACTCTATGATAGCTATTGTAGCTGGACAGACACAGAGAGATATACGGTCTTTTCATCAATTAGAAAGAATTTGATGAAAAATGTGAGTGACAAATAATGGCTGGATACTTCATGGAAATTATCACACTGTTTACTACATAAAGTATTAAGGGACATCTTCCCCTATTCCTTCCTCTCCTGCCGGAGCTGGGACAACATTATAGCCAGCCTGATTTTGGATGAAGCAGTTCTAAACAATAACCGTGCATTCCACTTTGTGCCAGTCTCCACCATTCCTCAGCCAAGAAGCTCTTCTCCTGTTTATTTTATCTTGAAGGATCAGCTCTAAAAATTTGTTACATGACTGAAGTATACTAATTTAATGTACTTTACATGCTTGAATGAATGTTCTTTTATTCATTTGTCCTTGCAATACTTCATTGGTTAGCTTCTTGACCTAAGAAGGACTGGGTATCGCCCAATGGCTCCCAACGTGGACTGCAACTCCCACAAGACTTCACCACTAGCTGTGCTGGCTGGGGTTTCTGGGAGTTGCAGTCCAGGAAAACCTGGGTTACCTATGGTTGGGAACCACTGGTGGAGCCCAAAAGAAGGAATCTGACTGCAGTTCTTCAGCATTGGCTAATATTGTGACTGTCATCTACTAGAAATCTTGACAAGTCAATGTGGAAGCTCTTTCCAAAGGCAGAAAAACTGGAAAACCTCCCTCCTCACATCCACAATGGTTTCTATGGACAAATGGGCCACAATACAACCTACAATTAAATGTCTTCAAACTTTATAATGTGCCTAACTCAGCACGGTGTGATGCCAATGGTGTATAAAGCACAGAAAATACTACTTTGAAGTCACTGCAGGGCAACATGGGTGGGAAGCTATAATGTAATCGTCTGTAGCTGTCTTACTAGCAGCCACATAAAAGGGACGCTTAGAAACCCCAAAATGTTACCTAGCAAAATCTAACGGTCCACCAGACCCTTTTAACTACCATTCACTTCAGCCAAAATTATCTGAAAGCTATAATTAATCCATACTGTTTACACGTTACTCAAATTGCATGCTTCCAATTTACCCAAGATGCCTTTGTGTTACTTCTTGCTTGGTTATGGACAAGCATTTCCTTCATGGGTTTATACCTTGGCAGAAAACGAAGGCCTTTGAAGGCCAGACACACCAAGATTCCGATTGACTGATCAATTGATTCACTGATTGATTTAAATATTTCCAACCCCATCCTCTTAACAGATCTCAGAGCAAGATACGGTCACATGAAAAGAAATTCATAGTCTATCTACTTTCAATTCAAGCCTATTAAAACACTTTAAAATAGTTCAATAAAGCAGGCTAGATTAAAACAGACTTCAGATTAAACACCCATCATTCATTACCAAACGCTTGGGTGAACAGTCAGGTTTCGACCTGATGCTGAAACAAAGACAATATTGGAGCCAGCTGAGCTGAGAAATTCCCAAACTGAGTACTAAAGTGGAGGAATCATCCTCTCCACACAATGAACCACTCTCTCCAGTGGGGCTTCTCCCCTCAACAGATCATAATATCTGGGGAGAGACAGCGAAATATCTATGTTCCAAACTCTTAAAAGTAACTGTCGGTAACTTGAACACAGACTGAAAGTATATTGCTGACAGAGCTGATGTCACATGGGTTCTGAAAGGTGTCCTTGTCAGCATTCTGGCTGCTCCATATTGCACTGGGTGCAGCATCTCGGTTGAGAACCCCATTTATGGAGAATTGCAGCAATCTAAACAGGAAGTCACCGGCACATGTACTACTTTAGCCAGTAAAGGAAACATTATAGTTTGCAGGCCAACAAAAGCTGGTCTCAGACACTCCAGCTACTGAATCCATCTGAGTGTCCAGTGACAGGGATTGAGCCAGGAGTATCTCTAAGCTATGCACCTGCTCCTTCCAGGGGAATGAAGCTCCAGTGTTCAGACATGGTAGCCACCAAACTAGGGAGAGTCCATTTTGTTCAGAAAGAGATTCAGTGTATTGGCATGTATCCAGGTCATTCCAGAATTTGGTCTAGCACCTGCAGGACCTCAAATCAGTGGATCAAAGTCACACTGTGCTTTCTACTTCTACTCCACTTCCGTGGATTAGGGCCACTCTTGTTAAGACTCCATGGTCAGTCAAAAGCCACAGAGAGAGATGGGAGACAACAGAGCAGCAGCACCCTGTCTATCTCTCCAAAAACAAAGCTCCAATCAGCCTGAATGGGGTCTAGATGATCAATAATGGGCTTCAAGGGAGTAAAGCTATATTGGTAGGGGAAGAATTGAATCTTTCACAACCTCCAGCATTTCATGGATGAATATCAGGAGATGCTTACCATGGCCCTCATGCCGAGGATCACTTTGCAAACTCCACTCACTCCAGGAACGCATACTCTTGGAAATCCTTCAGTGCTTGCTGTATGAATCCACCCTCTAGAATGGATTTTAGTGCTGAAATTTTATTTAAAACATAGCTGTACCCCATATTACTGTTTCTGCGGGAGACAATATAAGAGGACCTCTAAATGTTGCTTGCACACACTTGAATACAGTTTTTCTTTCTTTTTTTAAACAATGGCTCTGATCTATTTTGCATTTACACCCTGTCTATATTTTGGCAGACTATTCGAAAGAGGGAGAGGACAGGGAATGAGCAGTGAGGGAAGGGGTTTACACCTGCATTTTGTAATAGACATGCAAATATGAAACTCAGTTTGTCTAAAATTACCTTCTACTTAAGCATGCCTCACATTAACTACATTTGCAAGTCATATCTCACCATATATGATAGGACTTACTCCTCAGGAAGTACAATAGGTTGTCTCCTTAGCACCATGAGATAAGACGACCAATTTTGTTTCCAGAGGTCACATCGGGCATTATTGGTCATACTGCATGAAACCAGGAAATTCCCTAGGTGTGTGCATGTTAAGCAGTGATTTGAATATTACCTATGGCATACCTTCATAATGACTACTGGACCATGTTCCAATAGATACTGGCAAATGTTGTTAAGCCTGCACAGTTTCTCAAGAAGGGAGAGGAAAAAATCAGGGAGGTTACACCAAGCTACATGAAAATACTGTGTGGAAGTGGCATATTTCCCCAGAGCTGAATGCAAACAGCAATCTGAATATTTCCTCTGGCTCAATTCCAAGTTCCTTGACTTTGATCACATGCACACATGCACACGTGCACGCACACACATACACATGCGTGTGAAGCCCGAGGAAGATCTGGAGATACCAAGAATCCTGCAACACACATACAAACATCAAGACCTTCTTGCAATGTAGTCTGCTTTCCGTTGTTCTGATTTTTTTTCCTTTCTGTGATATCATCAATATATACGATGCTTTCCAACAGATATAAACATAATAAATACGTGGGGGTGTCATGGAGAGGAAATATTACAAAATGTGCAATTAAAGTTTGACCACAGAACAAGAGAACAAAGGAATAAAAATGAAGGAAAAGACTCAAATAACATAGGGGTCTTCCTTATATATTTGACTGTTTTCAAACCTGTGTTATGTTGTGGTTCAAGTGTTTGACTAGGAACCCAATCCTCATATTCTCACTCAGCTACTAAGTTAACTAGGAGATGTGGGACCAATCATTACGTCACAGGCTTGCTGTGAGGAAAAAATATAGAGGAAGGAAGCATATACTGTATACGGTACTTGAAGCCCCAGGACATAAAAGGAGGAATCAACAGAAGGAAGGAAAGAAGGAAGATTCTAACTTTAGTTGGACAAAATGAAAGGGAAATATTTTCATGCAGACAGAAATACACAAACACACACCCCATTAACCATTCCTCTGTCCTTTAAGCAATCTCTTTGGCTCATTTCATTCAACACTAAAAAAAATACAGAGGTAGAAAATTAAATAGATATGAAGTCTGGCATACCAAATGCTATATTAATTTTTTTTTCACATCAAAGTTTGTAGGAAGGTAGTGGGTTTCTTAGGTCAAAGGCGTGGCAAGTAGGAACTGATTTTGAAACAATTTGCAATACGTATTCCCCCTTCTTTTTCTGGTCGGGAGAGGAGTTTTTTTTTCTGACGCAATTTTTCTCGTTCTTACAGAGGGATCCATGATGCAGCCTCGGAAAACTTGGCAACCTGTAAAAGTGCCCAGTCGAAAATTACTAACAGCTGGAGATGACAGTTGTTTTAACAGCTGAGCTGACAGGATTAATTTAAATGCACTGAAATCAAAAGTAGATAACACCTGTTTAGTCTTCCAGGGCCATTCGACAAGGTAGGCCAAAGGGGGTGGAGGGGGAGTAACAGAGCCAGAATATTTTCCCTTATTTTCTCTTTCTCTCTCTCTCTGCATATTTTTGAAGGGCAGGGGGACTTCAGAAAAGAATGTCACAGATCCTGAAAAGGGAAAGAACCAAGGAGGGGTGGGAAGGAGACATTGCCGAATAACAAAGCCACCTACCTCTGTCGGCTTTGAACATCTGGTTCCCATTGCGCTCCTCCTCTATCTCTCCTCCACCTTGTCCAAGGTCTTTGACCCAAACCCAAGAATGGCTAGAGATCAATGGATTTCAAAGCCAGGCTTTTTTTTTTCACTCTGGCATTGCAGCAATCCTCCCGGGTTAATTAATGTATTCTCTTTGAGCTTTATGGTGTTCCTGCACCCGCATGCTGCTTTCTCCCTCCCAGCTTCCGGAGCCCAAAAGAATCCAAACTAAGAAGTCATCCAGGTTTGGATAAAAAGATGTGTACTTGGCGTAGTTTGTAGGCCACAATGAAATTATGATACAATATCGTCACTGATAACAATTTCTGTTGTTATGACTTAGCAACAAATTAATCTTGAACATAAGGCAATCTGAACCTTGATTGCATGCCCCTCTTTAAGAGAAGAACAATAGTATATAAAACTTAACAATGTTGCTGTTGCTGTAGTTGACTATGATAGTAAAAACAAGCCACTACTAGACATAGGATACAAGTGGTGCCTCGCTTAATGATGATAATTGGTTCCCAAAAATCGCTGTTCAGCGATTTCATCGCTAAGCAAAACACGGTTTCCTGTAGAAATGCATTGAAAACCGGATAATCCGTTCCAATGGGAGCGGATTGCCGTCCTTAAGCGAAAATCGCCATAGGAAACAGCGCTAAGCGAAACACGGTTCCCCAATTGAAATGCATTGAAACCTATACAAGTTAGCCAACTACGTATAGGCAAACTGCCAGAGGCCGCATGGCACTCAACTCCAGTCACTATTGAGTTACAAAAGAAGAGGGGGGCTGCAATTGCACAGGTTTTCTGCAGGCATTTCATAGTCCATGAGATCTAGGCTATGAGACCTTCCATATCCTTTGGGCAAATGTTTATTTTCCTAGGGTCACTGTGGTAACAAATATGTTACGGATCATCATCCTTCCACCATAATCCCTTAGCATCATCTTCCTTCTCTATGACCTAAACCCAGTTGTTAGTTTCAGCAAGAGTAAACCCAATGAACTACTGTTTCAATAGGTCTGTTCTAGTTATGGCTAACAACTTGATTTAGATTTATTCAGTTGATTTGTGACTGCCAAGAGAAAGGAGCTAGGGAACTTTCTCTAAAGCCCAGTAGACTGGGTGTTACATTGTAATTTTTTTTTAATTGAATGGGTGATGAACCCTTGAACTTTTCCCCAGACTAAGAAGATTAGACACTTGTGGAATGTTATAAATTCTTCGCTTTCAGGTTAGAATATGCATGCTTCAATACATACATATTTTAGACCAGAAGCCTGGAATCTTCCAGATGTCCCAGCCTACAATTACAATGGGCCCTACCTAGCATAGCCAATGGTAAGACATTGTGGGAATTGTTAATCCAAACTAGTATCTAGACAGCTAAAGGTTCCCCATTCCAGTTTAGATGGACCTCAATCAATCATCTTTTGATTCTGTTCTTCCAGTAATATAGGAAGCTGCCTCACATCTGACTGGACTATTTGTGTATCTTGCATGTTTTGAAGAGGAATGACTACATTTTAATGATGAGAACTTCCGACTGAGAGGTGGGCAAACCGACCTGACCTGTCTGGGTCATCAACTGCTGACATCTGGCACATCTATTTTCAAGATCAAAGGTCAAAGATTTCAAGAAGAGCAGAAGGTGAGTAACTCACTCCATATGCACAACGGATGCTAGCAGCTCAGACTGCTTGGTTTACACATCCAGACCCACTTATGGGGGCTAAAATCTACTGAATCCACCGTTAGGCCACCTGGCACATCACCATCTACTCTGACTGACTTCCCCCCAATAGCCATTCAAATATTAAAAGAGGGCCATCATGTTACCTCTCATTCTTCTCCAGGCTAAGCATACCCGTCTCCCTCAACCATTTCTTGCCGGTCTTGGTTTCCAGATCCAAGCTAGTAATGTCTCAAGGTTTTGATGAAGGAGAGGGGCCTTCAACAAGATGTCTTTCATGGCTTATCTTCCCTGACTAAACCTACCTCCTTGCCTCTTGCCACCACATCCCAATTATTGGCCTTGTTCCCCAATGGAGAGAGTAACACAAGTCAAGGCTGCTTCTTCTCTTGACAGCACTTATGTACCAAGAGAGAACAGATGATCTGGCAGGAAGAACACAGAGGAGCAGCAACGCCCAGTTGGTCTAGACAACGATGAGCAGGTCCTCCGACTATTTCCATTTATCTTACTTTTTTATTAAAAATATTTATACTGATTTTTTTATTCATTTTAAATATTTTTACTTTGCCTTTTCCCTTAACAATAGGGACGTGGTGGCGCTGTGGGCTAAACCGCAGAAGCCTGTGCTGCAGGGTCAGAAGACCAAGCAGTTGTAAGATCGAATCCACGTGACGGAGTGAGCGCCTGTCGCTTTGTCCCAGCTCCCGCCAACCTAGCGGTTCGAAAGCATGCAAATGCAAGTAGATAAATAGGGACCACCTCGGTGGGAAGGTAACAGCATTCCGTGTCTAAGTCGCACTGGCCATGTGACCACGGAAGATTGTCTTCGGACAAAATGCTGGGTCTATGGCTTGGAAACGGGGATGAGCACCGGCCCCTAGAGTCGAACACGACTGGACAAAAATTGTCAAGGGGAACCTTTATCTTTACCTTTTCCCTTAACAAGGACCCAAAGCAGGTTACATCATTTACATTTAAAACTAAAAACAGTAAGCATCCAAATACCTTAAAAGATTGAACAAATACCACACTAAAGAAAACCCAGTAAACAAAAACAAAACCGAATCCCCATTATAATAATCTTAGAACTGCAAGAACTGGAAGGGACCCTATGAATCATTAAGTCCAGCCCCTGTCAGGGAGGCACAGTGGGGAATTGAACTTTCAACCTCTGGCTCACAATCAGGTACCTAACCCACTGAGCTACCCAGCAGTTCCTAATAATCTTAGAATTACAGAACAGGAAGGGACCCTATGGATCACTGAGTCATTCAAAGCAGTACAGTATCACCATCCATTTAAAAACTGCACTCAGGCAATCAGTCATTAAGAGAAAGTATACCTGAAGAGAAAGATCTTTGACTGCTTGTGCTACCTGAAGAGAAAAGATCTTTGCTTGTGGAAGAACAGCAAAGATGTGGCCAGGCTGGCCTCCTGTGGGAGGAAGTTCCTAATTCTGGGAGCAGCAAGAGAGAAGGCCCTCTCCTATGTCGCAACCAGATGCACCAGTGAAGGTGGTGGGACTGAGAGAAAGGTCTCTATGATCTTAATGCCCAGGCAGGCTCATAAAAGGAAATGTATTCTTTGGGTGTCAGTAGATGTTGACACTCATGGCAGCCCTGTCATTTGTTCCAAGACACCACTGGCGATACCTTCTGCAATGTCCAGAGCTCACAGAAGTCCCTTTGGTATCTTAGATGTTGCCCTGTCTATGGCCAGCGTACTCCCTGTTCACAATATTCATGGCTGGTAGATGCCTGATGTGGATTTAAAAGGTGGCTGCATGTAATATATCAAGAGGGAGATATGATTGCATAACTTATTAAAATAAAATAATATATTGGCATGTTTGTACCATTATGTACAGCTTTTACAATATGGTAATCTGAATCATTGCCTTTATTAGATCTATCAAGGCTCAGTTAGCTGGCAATCTTAAGAGGAAGGAGCCTTTACAATATCAGACATAGTCATATATCTGAGATTTCAATTTATCCAAAAGCCCTATTGGTTTTTGTGTGTGTTTTTTTTATATTCTGTCCTGGAAGGACAGATCCTGAAGCTGAGGCTCCAATCCTTTGGCCATCTCATGAGAAAAGAAGACTCCCTGGAAAAGACCCTGATGTTGGGAAAGTGTGAAGGCAAGAGGACAAGGGGACGACAGAAAACAAGATGGTTGGACAGTGTCCTCAAAGTGATCAACATGAATTTGACCAAACTCTGGCAGGCAGTGGAAGACAGGAGGGCCTGGCGTGCTCTGGTCCATGGGGTCACGAAGAATCGGACACGACTTAACAACTAAACAACAACAATTCTATTATGTGTTTTGTTTCTTGGGTGCGCCCCCTTTAGCAATGGGAAAATAAGGAGTTATTGTCTCTGATTCTGGCAAGCTTTTAAAAAAAATTCAGACCAAATTCTTTCCCCTTGAAAATAACAGGAGGGAGTTCATTTAGTTACTCCATATGTTCTAAATATCGACCACAACCCTAATCAAACACCCACTGACTTTCTCTCCAACCAACCACAACCTCTGTATTTTAATATCTATACCTTGATGCCACGTGTAAATATTTGCCATGTTATAACTCCTTGTCTTATGTCTGATGAAATGGACTTGTCCATGAAAGCTCACATTAAAAAAATATAAAAGTTAATCTTTGAAGTTCCACCACATTTTTTGTCTTTTTTTTTTACTGTTTTTTTTTTCTATTTTGCTTTTTCCTTAATGTTTGATTAACCAGAATCCTTGGGCCCACCTTCTAAAAGAACGATAGGTCTGAAAAAAGTTTTTTTATTTATCTTTAACAAGAGCGTTCCTATTACAGGTCAATAAAGCTAACATAGACTTCATGAGGAAATTGGTCCGGAATGGTCCAGAGGTTCATCCTGGAGCCAACTTCATTCAGCAGAGACACACGCAAATGAAAAGGTCTGAACTTGTATTGGTCCTCACTGACCAGATAGGCGGGGTATAAATTAAATAAATAAATAATTAATAAATAAAATAAATAAAATAAATGTGCTACACTCTCCTCCAAGGTTAGGGAGGGCCAAAGAAGTCTGAAGGAGTCAGGAACACTCACTGTGAAAAACTGTTGCAGTGGTTAGGATGAACCAGAAAATGATATCCAAGAGAAGGATCCCCACCTGTCTGGTCAGAGCTTCACAGATAATATTGGACAAGGGCTTCCATTTCTACCTATGACTCCTTGGATCATATCATTGCACCTTCAACTGGAGAAGCCATTACTGAAGCTGATCAAGTATGGAGCCAATTCAGTGTCTGGACGAGAGACTACTAGTCGTCCCAGATAAGATCTGCTGAAACGCTAAAGTACAAAAAGGAACTCCTAGACAGCTCAGTGGTTTAGTCATCTGGCTGCAGAGCCAAAGATTGGGAATTCAATTCCCTACTATGTCTCTTTGACAGGGGCTGGACATCCCTTCCAGTTCTCCAATTCTAAGATGATGAAGATTAGAATATAAAATGTGATTAATGTTCCACCCCACTGGATCACAGTAAACACAACAACTAAACAAGGAAACCATTGGTTTTTAAATGAATCATATTCTGCTAGTGTTTACTTTGGTAATACGTCTTTTGTTGGCTTTCATGCCTTTTCTATACCCCACTGCATTATTGGGATATTCTGAGGGATAGGGAGGGCAGAGAAGAAAGCCTCTGGTTGGATTTTAATAGCAATTTAACGGCATCTGAAATGCAATTAATTTTTGAGTTCAAATGATAAAGCATCTTCTAGCATCCTCTGTCCACAGTTTTTTTTTTAAAAGACTTGCCTACAAGGCATGAACAGATGGCTGCAGCATGCTGGAAAAGCCATTCCCCGTGTTGCGCAATAGGTGACTTACAGTATTTGCATACAAGAAAAAATATATGGGACTCATATTTGCATTGACCATAGGCATGATCCCATCCATTTAAGCAACCCCAGACTACCGTGACTTGGAGGGCGAAACAGTTTAACATAGGAAAATCAGTAGCTGTCTTAATATTTAATTTTGGTTCACCTCCTATGGTTTTAACCTTCTTCACATGGACATAGGTTAAAAATCCCATTTATTTCAATGGAGACGTACCCTAACAGATCACAGGATCTTATTTTCAGCCCAAGGAGTGTGGCTACTTTACTGATAGTTAAATCTTATTTTAAGATAAAAGACAAGAGACATCAAGATAATCAACTCACTGGAGAGGTGTTATCTCTCCCTCCCATTACGGCTGGATAGCTCAGTGGTCTAGGTGCCAGAGGTTCGGAGTTTGATTCCCCAATGTCCCTCCCATTATGGCTGGATAGCTCAGTGGTCTGGGAGCCAGAGGTTCGGAGTTTGATTCCCCAATGGGCCTCCTCGACAGGAGCTGGACTTGATGATCCGTAGGGTCCCTTCCAGCTCTGCAGTTCTAAGATTGTTGTTGCTGTTTTACCGCAGGGACAGAATTATTTACTGTGGCTTAATTCTGGTGCCAATAGCTCACTCTAAGAGAACAAATAGGTTGCAGGATCAACACTTTACCATGTGTACCTTCTGAAATGAAAACGGTTTTAGAAATTTTACAGATATTTAAATATTACAGAGTGGCCCAAACCACTGACGTACTCATCTGTAACTTATTACATGCAGCTACTAATTGCAACTCTGAAATGGAGTAGATGGTATTCAATGAACCTAGTTTAAACTGCCACTTTCGTCCTGGCCAAATTGAGGGTGAACTAATTTATTAGATGAATGAGGGGTGAGCAACTTAGGCATTCTGGGGACCAAATTTCCTGCCCTTTGGATTCTCTTGAGACAAAAATGCAAATAAAAAAATGGAACAGGGGGAATAAAATAATGGCATTTGGGGTGTCTGGGGTGTCAGACTGTCCATAAGAACCTATTTAAAAAGAGAATCTGAATGAGGAGTGACAATATTTGTTTACAACATACAGAAAGGGTTTGATTAATTGCAGCGGAATGAATTTGATCTCAGGATAGAATTCTGAATATCCCTGGTCTATATGACAGGTTTATTTTACCTTCAATGAACATCAGGCCCTTAACAGTGCATGGATATACATGTTATTCACACCTAGTCAGAATAAGAAGTGGAATAAATAACTGAGTTTAAAGGATGGATGCTAGCAGTTCTGATTGCAAATGGGACATCATTTTTAAATGGTGCTCTGCTTTTTAAAAAATTCAAAAACCTCCTTGCAAACAGAAAACTAGCGCAACAGAGAGAGGTTCTAGCTTAGCTGATTTAATTGTTTTTAAATAAATCTGATTTAAATTTTTAAAAATCCAGTTCTAAAGATTTAAATCCTCAAAAAAAAAAAAATCCCATGTTTTAAAATTTAAATCATGATTTCAATTTAAATCAAATCAACCCGGCAGAGAAGCATTCAAAATTAGCTTTCTCCAGCAGTTGGAATCTGAAGTCGTGCAGACTCTTCTTCTACTTTACTCCCATCTTATTTAGATGAATAAATCAGCCAGAGCTGAGATGGGCAGGAACAGTACTTAAAGGAACTTGTTCTGTCACTTGTTATTTTGTATCAGCAGCAGATTGTTCTTGTTAACTCATTTGCTAAAGTGATTTACTGCTCATTACTAACATACTAGCCTCTACCATTATTGGTGAAGTCTTTGGAAAACACACGAAAATGCTTGCCCGTCCTCTCAAATGGTGAGTCTGTTTGTTGCACACTGAAAATGCAGCTATCCACACATTACAAAGCAAAGCTTCCCTTGATATGTTCTACCCAGATGCCTCGAACTATAAGTACGCCGGCACATCACAAAACGGCAAGGTGAATGGAATTCGATGGACCATCATTACTTATGAGTATGAGTTTCGTGAAAAGCCTTTGCCCGAGTGTTATCCTAATCTTTCCCTAACAAAATGCCCTTTCCACAGAACTCCATCTCCCTGACACGTTCCTGAGCACCTTCCACAGGATGAGGACAAGGAATTGAACTCCAGGATCCATGAGAGGGTTGGCCATGACAGCAGGGTCTCCTGAATGAAGGGTTCATGTTCAGAGGCAGTGTGGGAGAGCCTCGATTCTGTTCTTCTAAGTTTCTTGATTCTGTTCTTCTAAGAATCTGTTCTTCTAAGTTTTGTAGAGTCTGTGAATCCAAAAGTTGACTTCTAAAATTCAGCTCTAGGAACCCACTGCATCTTGGTTTTTTTATCTATATACATGAGAAACCCAACTTGGATTAAACATTTGGCCGGTGGCTTTCTCTCTCTCAAGTCCCCTCTCTCCTTGTTGTCTCTCTCCCTACCACAGCTTATCTCCCTCCCGACTTCCCGTCTTCTTATGGTGCTTCTTTGCAAAGAAAGGCAGTGGGAAGTAGCTGCAAATGATGGAATTCCTATTCCTACTCTCTCATTGCTCAGGCCATCCCCTCGCCAACAATGAGAACAGGCAGACACCTTTTCTCATACAGTTGAAAAAGAGGAAAATTAAAGCCATTGTTCTTACAAGGAAAAAAAATAACTTTGTTCCAATTCATTACTGCAGAAAGTATTAACCAAAATTAACTAATTAAAATCACACGACTTCCTAGCTCTGGTATGGGTTGATCCTCAAAGAAATGTTCACAGGGAGCCAGTTTGGTATAGTGTGGTCTGAGGATTCAGGAGTTCTGAGATCAAATCCTTGCCCCCAGCAATGGGAACTAAGTGTGGAATGGGAATGGTAGATTTTGTGAATCTAAGTGCTTCTTGGCCCCATGGTTTCTACAGGATGTTCTGTCATTTATGTTCTTTCTTCTGGAATCTCCCAGCCAGCAAAGTATCTGCATTTTCTTCCCATGCTTATAATATGCAAGAATCTATGCCATTCTCCACAGGGTTAGATATGAACACCTCTTGTGTATTTCAAGCTCTTACAATAACCACACCCTTGCAAAAATAAACAAGGTAAGAGCCTGAAAATAATAATAATTCATCCATCCGTCCATCCGTTCATCCGTCCGTCCGTCCGTCCATCCATCCATCCATCCATCCATCCATCCATCCATCCATCCATCCATCCATCCATCCATCCATCCATCCATCCATCCATCCATCCATCCATCCACCAATCCACCATTCCATCCGCCCATCCATCCATCCACCCACCCACCCATCTATCCAATCCATCCATCCATCCATCCATCCATCCATCCATCCATCCATCCATCCATTCCAACATATATAATGCCTCACAATGCACTCTTCTTGCTGTTTGCAGAACAGGAAAATCCTGTCTAGGATAACACCTGGGGTACAGGGAGCACAAGACTGTCAAACATAATCTTGCACACAAAATCAATGAAAAGAGTGGGGAACCACCCTCAGCAGTTCACCCTGATTTTGCTCCAAAATACCTTATTCTCCATGGGGATCTTGGAGACATTTTCCACTGGGGCAAAATATCCAAAATGCTGCGGTCACAGAAACAAAAAAACAAAGAAGAAAGAAACCCAACAGAAAATACTCATTAAATCCTCACTTTGCACATTTCATATACCTTGAAAGACATATTAGACTTGCCAGAAGTGGGAAGTGACTTTACTGAAATCCTGCAGCAGTGTGAGCTGTGAAGATTTAATGTTACCTCTTTTGACAGTGGACTTTGGTAAGTGACACTGACAGTCCATCATGTCTGCAAATGATGGTTAGCTCTCTGCTTTTAATGATTTCATTTAATTACAGGCTGATCTGATAGCCCTTGGGGCAGAAAAACGCCAATACATTTGAAGTCGAGATTATGAGTAGTTAAGGTATCCAGATTGGGCCTTGGGGATAATGTTCCCAACGCTGCAGGTCTCAAGCTCCTCAAACTGCTCAGAGGTTTAGGTATCTGGCTGCAGAGCCAGAAATTGGGAGTTCAGTTTCCTACTGAGCCTCCTTGAAAGGGTCTGGGCTCAGTGATCCACAGGGTCCCTTCCGGTCCTGCAGTTTTATGATTATAGATTATAGAAAAAACGGTCCTCTGTTGTGTTTTCACTCTCCCATTAAATGAATTATAGGTGAAAGGTCATGGTGGAAGGCATGTCCATGCATTCAGCAGCTGGAAAACTTGATGTTGCATCAACTTTACAGAATTATTAATTTGATATCCACACAAATATCTTCCTTGTCATCATCATCATCATCATCATCATCATCATCATCATCATCATCATCATCATCATCATCATCATCATCATCATCATCATCATATGCTGTCAAGTCAATTTCAACTTATGGAATTCCAACTTCCTAGGGTCTTCTAGGTAAAAAATTCTCAGAAGTGGTTTCCCATTACCTTCTTCTGGGGGTGCTCTAGGACCACATAGGTTGCCCAAGGCTACCCAGGCTGGTTCTTCTCCTAGAAGGCACGGTGGTGTATAAAAACTCAAGCTCGGCACCAAGGTACACCAACTCAATGAGCTGTTGTACCCTTTCAATTGTGTGCACTTTGGTGCATATGTAGCCAACAGAACTTCATGAAAAAAAATGGGATCCTCTGTCACCCTACTCAAATATTCTAAATCTTACTTACAACAATACATGAGGAGGTGTGTGTGCCATCTTTGCCATTGCTCTCATATTTCAGCAAACGTTTGCAGTGGACAACCTACATTTACTCTTAAAAACTTTATAACAATTGCCAGACTATCTCCTAGGTACAAACTAGATTCCTTTCTGTTCTCTATTCACTACTGGCCCAACACTCATGACAATTAATACGAACTGTTGGATGCACCATGGAATACCCATCTTAAAATGAAACATCCTGATTTGGCTTTTCAAAACCACTCTTTCCTCCGCTTGTTCTGGCATATGAGATGACATATGAGATTACTTTGGACACCTTCAGCCACCACAACTGCCCTTTCAGTGAGCAACAGCTATCACCCCTTCAATTGACAAAGTCAACGATTTCAAGAATATTGTCTCTCTATATGGTGGCCCCACCTTGCAACTTGCAGGACTTAAAAGATCTGCTGCTAATGTCTTGGTGCCAGTTACCACAGGACACATTCAGAGGTCTTGTGGAGTCCATGCCTCAATGCATCAGAGCTGTTTTGGCAGAATGAGGGGGACCTACACAATATTAGGCAGGTGGTTTTAATGTTGTGGCTCATCAGTGTACGTTGATCGCCTCAGGGAGTCCTGGGAATTATTTACTCATTGTGATGCATGCATGCATTTACAGCTGGGCAAGTTAGGAGACCAAAGAACAATTCATAAGCACGTATTTAACACGGTGAATAATGTCTCTTGATTTTGCTCTCATTTTGACACGCTGCGAAACTGTTGTGGGTACTCTGATGATGACTCACGGAAGCTGAAAACCATCCCAAAGTTAGATGGAACAAGACATGTCATGATCTGCGTAATATGTTGAAGTAACCACAAGAAGGGCTGAATTCATAAAAATCCAAACCAACAACAAATTGAAGACTTCTCTGTATAAACAAAAAAGCATGTGAATTAGAATGAAGTAAGCTTGAACCTATCGTTCCCTAAGACATAGGCCAGGATCTGATGCAGTGTTTTCCACTAATAGAACAGTTTCTAATAATGGAACCAGGATAGAAACCATTCCCTTGGCAAACTCATGTATCATCCTCACTCAGAACCTGTTCTGGCGGGTTGTAGATTTTTTTTTTAAAATTTTTTTACTGGTGTGGAAGCTACAGGGTGGAAAGAAGAGAAAGAAGGATCCTTCAAGATAGCAGTTGGGTGCTGGCACGACACAGTTTTCAGGCTATAGTCACACCTCCACACAACTACCAGCACCTTTCAAATTCTCACAAACATATTGCTCCAATTCTGTCTGTCAATATTTTGTCCTGAAGAGCAAAATGTCGTCTGTATTTTAAAACCACTTCTAGTTCTGAAAAGTTCCTCATTATTGATTTAACTCTTTGGGGGGGAAAGAAAAGAAAACACTATTTCAAAGTTCTTGGTCAACGGCGCTCCAAACAATAATTGCAGCTTAATTTGGCTTAATGATAGATTTGTCTCCTTGGATAAAATAACCAGCCGTTTGTTCCCCTGCTATTTTTAAAAGTCTTTACACAACTCAAGAGTCTCAAAGAAGATAATTACAAACAATGCCTGAAGAATGGATCAGTTAATGTTAATTTATACAACAAACTAATTACTACCAAATGTTAAAAAAAAATTAAATTAAAAATTACATGTGGAAGGTTCCTCTCTCTCCCACGCACACAACGAAACCGGCAGCCATCTGTCTCTGCTTTGGAGCGCTCAGTGACAACCAAGGGTGGGACTGGCTGCCAAAGCTTTCCTCATCTGACATAAATTCTTAGGTACTTAAAAAACCCAGCTTCCGTACTGCTAGGGTGGGCACTAGAGGAATATTTTATATGTATGTTTAAAGCCACTAACACCTGGTAATGTCTAAATCTCTCTGCGTGTCTTAAGAGACATTTTTGTATCTCTTTGTCATCAATTTTAATTCTACCCTCTAGCCATTTCCAGACAATGTTCTTTTCCTCCTCCTGTCTTTTTTGGAGAGGTGCAGCCTCTCTCTCTCTCTCTCTCTCTCTCTCTCTCTCTCTCTCTCTCTCTGTCTGTCTCTCGCAATTCATTTCTAAATAACAGCAAAGATTTGTAAAAGATTTGCTAGCTGGCAGATTCTGGGTGTTGCAATTCGGGGGGAGGAAACTTTTCCAAAGATATCGAAAAAGCTATTAATACATGCATTTACTATGATCACTTGATGGCTAATTAAGTAGTTAAATATGGTTGTGTAATTCTCAGTATTTATACATAACTAGATATGGGCACAAACCGGAAAGTGGGTGGTTCGTTATTCGTGGCTAGCCACGAACCACTGCAAACTCCTGGAAAAATGAACCGTTTGGAAGGCGGCGAGTGGGCATTCCCTTTTGCTGAAGCAACCAAAATGCCAAAGTGGAAAAAAAAAAGTTCAGCATTTTGTTTGGCTTTCGCAAAATGGGATCCCTGAATGGGATCATGATGAAGTAACCAAAATGCCAAAGTGGAAAAAAAGTTCAGCATTTTGTTTGGCTTTGGCAAAATGGGATCCCTGAATGGGATCATGAAACGAACCATGAATCATTACGGTTCATTGGGTTTTTTTGGTTTGTAGTTTGTTTCATGCCCATCTCTATACATAATGTTTTAGAACCCAAAAGCTAGTTCTGGTGATCCTGAGTGGCAACCCTAGCCTATACCAGAACTGGTACGGCCACCTTCACCTCTCCACCTCTTTTTACTGGCCATATGTTTTTAATAACAGCCCAAGAAATAGAGATTAGGCAACTGAAAGTTTCCTATGACCAACATTTCCATGTATGTAAAAATTTCACCTGCTTAATTCCACCAAGTACAGCGGAATATGAGACAGAAGAGAGCTGCCAGAGAAAAAGATGGCAGTCTTATTAATAACTAGGGCT